TTAGGGCGCAGCAGCGCCGCGACGCTGCTGCGACGCCGGCAACAGCGTCGCGGGGTGGGGGGGAGGGAGAAGACGGGAGGCAGGGGGGAGAGGAGGAGAAGCCAACGCCTGATGGCTTCTCCGAGATATGTGATCCATAGGTCCAGGCCACTCATATACACCAAATCTCTGTGGCTAATAGCGATGGTGGCAGCATCGACGTGTGAGCAAAATCGGGGCGATGTAGAGGGAGAAGAAAGTTGGTCTGTGGAGGTGGTCTCGGGATTTTGCATCGTTTGTGGAGGAGTGAAATAGTGGCAGTGGTGCGAGGTTGGGCTGCCGACAGATGGAGGACGTCGCTGGTGAGGGTGAGTATAGAGAGTAGCCGATGAGGGTGGGTAGAGTAGAGTAGAGGGAAATGGAAATGAAATCTGTAGCCATCGTGCGTCGGTGGAGACGGTGAAGAGAGAGAAAGAGGGAGATGAGAGTTGGTAAATGATTTTTAGGGTTCGTGAAATTAGTATATATAATATATAATATTTAAATATTAAATATCTGATTTTGCAATTAATAAAACTTAGATCTGATTTTGGAAGTTAGATATTGAAACATAGGGTTTCGTGTAATTACCACTTAATGAGAAGTACAGTAAGATCTCAATAAANAAGTAGGGCACAGTGTAATTTCCACAAAAATAAATATAAAAAGTCTTTAGGTAACTAAAATCTCTCTACGAGAGAGCTATAATTACTTTATTTTTTTTAAAAAAAGAAGATTTTTAGTAAATTTTGATAAAAGTTAATAAAATTATGTGATTAAAAAATTGCGAGTTTCATAAAATGATGATTGAAACAAATTATTAATTCTAATTATTTTTTTAATTGAACTAAACAGAGGCAATATACAAAAAAAAAAGTAATATTATGTATCATATAATATCAATTTAAATAATGCTAACTGAAAGGACCAATGAAATATATAATAAAACGATTCATTTAATTATACTTACCAACATGAGTATCACCTAACACCCGTAATACTAAATACAAAAATGACATCGTTCGCCAATTTTTTTAGTCTGCTGATTTTTAACAATCTATAAATATAAAAAAAAAAATTAAATTAAATGGTGTTGACAATTTGAAAATGAAAAAGCCGTTTACCAAATGAAAATGTCACGCGTGTCTTAGGTTAGTAAGAATGCATTTCCTAGACGGATAATTTA